TTGTGGCTTTTTTTAATATATGTCCAGCTATCACATGTGATTTCTGCATGCCAAAACTGCTTAAATACTTTTTTACAAATTGTACCTATGAGACACATAAACGTTTGTAGATTGGTTTAGAAGATTTGGTTCAACTATGTTTAAAATTGAATACTGAAGTGTAGTAAGCTGTTAGTGTTTTTTAATAATAAATGTTAACATTTGTATAATGAAATTCAATTTATTATGCCACAAATATTTCTTCAATACGGACAGTGGATATGTTCAAATAAATCCTTTCTTTTAATGAAAACAGACCAACATGAAATTCAAAAGTACCTTTTGCTTCAACATTTGGCCATATTATCTTGAAGATAAAGAATAGTGATTAGTGAAGGAGGGAAAAGCATTCTCAGTTAAAATAATATACTAAATAAAATGAACAGGTTTTGAATTGTTTTTATTGATATTACTAATGTTACAAGTTGATAACTTCAAAATTGTGTAATAATTTCTTATTTGTTAATCTATTTGCCAATTTATGACATTTTAATGAAAAAATTTAATTGTTTTACCACAGAAACAAAAAACTATATTCTTTATTATCGACATAAATATGTAAAGAAAATTTTTGCATGCATCACTTTAAAACTATTGATATCTGGAAGAAAGGGTGTTTAGAATATATGTATGTTCCTGAATCAAAATTTGATATTTAATAGTTTTACAATTCACAACCTGTCATAAACTGAAACATAATAAAACAATAATAATAAATAAATTTAATAATTTTAGTAGATTATCTTTTTTCACCTGATTCCCTCAGGACATTTATGGGAAACGAAGACCTACTACTCTTCGGGATGTTATTCCAGATTTACCTAAACTGGTAGTGGTGGACAGAGAACTGCTAAAGGTTCGCATACAGTTTTATCCTATGTCTGCTCTTTAAAACAATTGATAAAAAAAACGCAGTTAAATCACTCTTTTACCTTCTGACATTTAATCGTTTTCAGTCTTTGTTATAACTTTTGGTATCTATTCCTCTTGCTCTGGTATTCCTGGTATTCCATTTGATTATCTGACCTAGAGGCTTCGGAAAATGTGCAAAAGCATATAATCATTCTTGAGTGTTATGCTATAGTTTTTATATGTAAACCTTGTTGGAAAAACAAGTTTGTTTATTTTTATTTTTAAATGGCTAACAAAAAAATATTAATGAGTATTAGACACATTTCAATGACCAAAAGAAATTGAAGGTTTCAGAAATGTAATAATATGTAGTAAATTGCAAATACTTTTGAACTCAATATTTGTTTCACTACTGAAGCTTAAGTGTTCACTACAGATAGTGAGTTTTGTAGTTTGCCTTGTATTGTCATAAATTATTTGTATTATATCGATAATCATTTAGTCCATTTTGAAGATTAGTTTCTGTTTTCTTACTTAAGCATTTGCTCTATAAAATGTGAAAAGATATAATATTCTTTTTTTCTTGCTTTTAATTAAGGATTGTTTTCTAGGATCTGAACATTGTCAATTCCCAAAAGAATTTCCCTTGAATTCGGTCTCTCAATTTCTTAAAGATAATTCTTCATTAATTTTGTACTTGTCCCTATGATGTGCTTTAATTTATTAATTAAAACTAAGAATCATCAAAGTATATCTACTCACATAGTGAATAAATTTTCAAAAGTCTATTTTGTAGTTTCTGGATAGTTTAAAAGTAAATTGCAAAAAATTAAGAATAATAAATTTTAATAACATATGTTTTTAATACAAATATTTTCAATGTAGATTCATTCCTTAGGTAATAAATTTGCTTTGGTAGTTGAATGGATATTGAGGTTTATTTCATGAAATTATTCTCTTCTTTCAAATTATTCTTTGCTTTGTAGAAATGTGTTGCAGAATTTCCGATGCCACTGCCCTGAGAAGAGTACCAATAACATACTCGTCTACAAGATTACATAATGAATTCTGACAGGATAACTAGATTAAATTGGCTAACTCTGTTCCATTGCATGATTCTGGTACAACTGAATTATCTTTGTGTTGCTCATCTACAACCAACCAGTCATCAACTGGTTCACAGTAGCTGTTGTATAAATTGTACATAACTTTATTCAGTGTGACAGATATATAACATGTAGACTTATTACATTTCCATAAGTATTGTTTGCATCAATATTTTGGATAAACCATTACTTCCTGAAATGACATGTATAATTTCTAAATACTATGCTTCACATTCAGTCGTCTTTCACTCTTAACCAGTGTTTTGATTTCATTGAATATTTTTGTATTGTTAACATTTATAGTTCTATTCTACATGCATGTTGTGCTATAACCATTAAATCATTCCGGTTTCAATAGAGCCACAGGTATCCATGTTTGGCTCATGCAACATGGTGTTTTAAGTGGTTTCGCCTCTGTGTTTTAGTGTAGTGTTCGGACTGACAAACTCCCACCGCGACGCCTATCCCTTGCTGAGTTGATTCCAGACTGGCCAGTGCTCCACCACTTTCAGAAGATGGAGGTTGGACTGTCTTACCCTAGATTTATGTTTACATTTTCTCTTTCTGACAACTGGGACCTTCCTCTTATTCTTCAAGAAGTCTGGAATCTAAAACTTACATATATATGTTTTATCTTCTGTTTCTTTATCTTTCTAGTTCATCTTGTGTACTTCTGAGTGGCCTTTTTGTTCCTGTCACTGTCTTGTACTTGCATCTTTTCCTTCTTTACATGTTATATACTTTTATTGTTATGTTATTAACTGTATCTAGTTTAAGGAAACTTGGACTCAGTTTATTTTTCTTCTCATATCTGTTGAATTTTCCTCTTTCATGGCTAATCACTTTGAAAACTAGGTGAACTAAATAAAACTCAATAAAGAAAAAGAAAAATCCTTTTTAATTTTTAAAACTTCTATAATTATGAAACATAGAAGATCTACTTATCATATATTGATAACAGAAAGCACTAAATGTAAAACAACAATTCTCTAACCACCTAAGTCCTGCCTTAGAGACAGCAATTGAGGCTATATTAAAGTACATGGAGCCAAAGGTTGTGGGTTCAAGGAGTCCCGCATAACGAGTAGGTGTTTTAACCAAATTATTGCGGTGTGGTTGGCTTTCCATACCACCATGTATCACATCTGAACTATCATCTCATTCATAATCATTTACCCCTCATGATCCCTCTATTATTGTTGCAGTGGAAAGCAAACCATCGCTGCAATCATCTACCAAGGAAATGGGAGGGTTTTAAGGCATAAGCCCTCTCTCTTGCTTATACTAGGCAGTAGGGTATGGCACAACTAAAAGAATAACATTTGAGGATATTGAAAAAATTATGGTCTTCAAATTTTTACTCTTTGCTCTCTCTGGATTTTATTTACGTTTAGTTTTCATTTTATTTTTTCATTTTGAAAATTTGAATTTCAAATAAATCAGTTATTTTATTTTTAATATCTTCTTTTGAAAGTCTTGTTCATCAGGATGTTTTAAAATGTCTTCATAAATAATTATTGTGGGCATCAGAAACACATCTGCTACAATGTAGATCTTTTAATATCTTTGATGTTCACTGAAGTGTGCTGCAATACAATGAAATAAATTTTACCCTACACAAAAAAAATTAACAATTGAATACTTCGCTAAATAAAATAACATTTAAGTTTTTTCCCACAGTGCATATAAAAATGTTCAGAAACACAACAATTTTAAACCCTTAATTTAAAGTGTCAAAAATTTGTTTTTATATGTCCATTTACAACAACAACAAATTGATTTAAAATATTGAGTAAATTCTTTTTTAATATTTACTGAAGCCATTCTTAAAAATAAAAACTTTTACTTCTTTCTTTAAAATAAAAATGATTTCACAAAGAAATTTTGCAAACATAAGAGAAAAATACAGAAGTTTTGTTAAACAAATATTTTAAACATAAAACTGTGCTGTATCTGTTTGTTTAAAATACTGAATAATGTATTAAAATTAAAATTGAGATTTAATAATTACATTTACACAAATTAAAAATGAGATTTAACATAAATGAAATAATCACAGGTAAACTTTCCCATTCTTACTTATTTCTCTATCATTCTCTTTTTCTCTTTCCATTATCAATGTTTAGTTGTAGAGGAATTCAGTAATATTATTTGATTTATTTTGTTACTGTTAACATGTACCAATTAACTCATAAAACTCTTCATTGAGCATTTAGAATTCACTATACTACGTACATTATATATTGGAAAGAATGTTCAATGAGGAGTTATATGAAGATGATGTTTGAAAAATGTGTCATCCTAAAGTTTTGTAGCTAATTGAAGTTTTACATTATGAAATTCTTTAAAAAATTTAATTAATATAACATAAAATACAACAAATTAATTATTTACATTTAATTTTTTTGTCCCAATTTGATGATTTAAAAAATGTTTTATGAAGTTCCAAATATTGCTAGAATTGTAAGTATTTACAGTAAATTTCCTTTATTAGTTATTGAAGACACTATTATTCTTGAGGGGAAATGGAAAATAGTATATCAAAATATATGATCATGCTTTATTTTGATTTGAACACAGGATTTGAAGCAGAGTACTTATTAGTTCAAAGAAGGTTTACTAATAATCATATAAGTATTCTTGAAATTATGACATATTCTTTATTAAAAAACAATTTTACCTTGCCTTTCTGTCAAGACTATCTTCTTCCCTTTGCCATGATCAATCCATTTGCAGGAGTTCACAGCAGAACACTTGATTTTTCACTCTTTTCTTCACTGTCTATCCATATGTCTAAAATTCCATATATTTATTTGTATCATATTTCAGAACTAAATTACTATAATGAACATTCTTCTTGTTCTTTTCTCTATTAATTTCCTTTCAGGTCAAGTCTCAGACTACTAGAATCCAGAGGGTCCAGTGAAGCTGTGCATCACATATGCATCTATCAACATAGTTTTATTTCGTACTTTCCATAATTACTGTCTTATTATTGTTTAGAAACAAGAATCATTCTTGAAACCTTTAGTGGACCAATTAGCCAAAGAAGGCAAAGACAAAAAGGTGGTGTTTGAAGCAGTATTTTCCAAACCAAATGCAAAGCCTAAATGGCTCTTTAAAAAAGACGTAAGTGAACCCATGCCATATTAAGTTTCCCCAAAATATTTACTGTGAGCTTTCAGTTAAATTGGTAGATACCAGAGAAACAATAATTAAGACCTTGAGAAATTCACCTTCAGTTACTATGTTCTTTCATGTGTAATAGATTTCGGTTATTTGGGGTGAAGTCTTTTTCATTTTATTGTTCATAAAGTGAAAGAAATTAATTTATTACATTGTAAAATTACTTAGAATAATTAATTGTTTATTGTTAATTGCTAATATACCAACAAAGGGCCATGATAAAATAAATATTTTTGATGCTTATTGAAGAATATATGTGATGTAAAATATTTTAATTTCATTTTATCCTTTGTAGGAATTATTTCCTGGGTCTAAGTACAAGTTAAAAAATGAAAATGATGTTTATCAACTCATCATCAGTAATCCTAAAGTAGAAGACACAGGCAAATACACCATTGAAATTGGTGGTGTTTCTTCAACAGCTTTTCTAAATGTGGATGGTATGCACTCTTTTATTGAAGGGAGCAATGACAAAGTATGAGATAGATTTTCTGGAATTGAAGAAGTGCTAATGTTACTACTTGCAATGTGCGTTTTACAGAAGCAGATCCTACTTATACATTCCTTAAACCATTAAGCAAGAAGATAGAGGGCTTTACTAAACATGAAGTACAATTGGAATGTACTGTTAGCAACAGCATGGCTGTTGTTCATTGGTACCGAGGTGATAAGAAGATTGAAGTAAGTGGCCAATTACATTATCATTACTATGTGCATTTTTATATTTTCTGGTCATAAAAGTATTTTAAAATTAAGTTATTAAAATCTACAAATTCCTTGGAAATAAAAAATCCAACATAAAATTGAAGAAGAAAGATCTTTCCTTTTTTCTGTATTGTTTTTTGATTTAATAATTATTACACAAATACATAATACTTAAAAACATTTGTATTCATACTGTGTTTGGTGAGTGCAAAGTTATAAGATTATTAAATTTATTACCCGCCCTTATTTATTGATTTCATGTATAAAATACTTTCCAATTTTCTTAACTAGCTACTTACTTTTACGATTCTAGGAAGGCGATAAATATGAAACATCGAAAGATCTTGCAGGAGTTTGTAGGTTGACAATAAAATATTGTGAAATTGAAGATGGTGGAGAATATTCTGCAAGAATTTTTAAACAAGAGGATAAAACTACTACAAAAGTGGTAATAGTTGGTAAGTCACTATGTTTCTACATGACAGAAATGCGTAAATAATATTGCCAAAAATAGTCAATTTTGGAAAATGGTTGAACAGTGTGACATCACAAATTGTTAAAATCTTTCAGTCATAGTTTATAGATAAATACCTAATTTAAAATAATTGTTAATTTTTATAATTATAAAAAATATAGTAATATTGTTCAACCTAATCATTATGTTACATTTCTTTGCAGCTGCAAAAACCTTATTTATTTAATACATACTTGCAATTATCAATTTCATTTGTTTGTAAGAAAACACATAATAGTATTAGTAATTAAATTTTTGTTTTCTTTTTAGAATATCCTTACAAATTTGTGAAAGTATTGAAGAGTCAACAAATAACAGAAAAAGACACAATCACACTTCTTTGTGAATTAGATGATGCAGGAGGTGAAGTTACTTGGTTGAAAAATGGTGAAGAAATTAAGCCTGATAAGAGGTAATATGCAAAAGAAATTTTCTAGTTACTTTTGTTTATAAAAAATAAAAATAAAAATTAAAAAATCCAACAACAACAACATTGTTACAGTTTCAAGAAAAATATTCATTTACAAAATCCTTCTTTTGTTCTTTCTCTTGCTTAGATTTTCCCCCATTTGTTTTATTTTCTTTTTATTCCTTTCCCTTTCATTTAGGCTGTCTTTGAATCGTGGGAATGATACCTGTCTTTTCTCAACTTTTCAAGTCATCATTGGAATTCTTTATAAAGAGGGATGCTTTTAATTATAATGCCAAATTCAAACTACTGTTGTCGTTCCTAGAGACACACATACATACTAACACAATAACAATGCTCAAGTGTTGGTATTTGGACCCACAACCCTTTGAGTCTAGGTAGATCCCACCTTCATTGACCTATGTCAAAAATCAGGGTTTTTGCCAATTTTTCTTTCTTTTTCCTTTTCTTTTATCTATTCTTAATTTTCTTTTGTATTGTTAAGAATCTAATCATTAAAAAAATATTTTGTTTTATAACAATTAATGGAAAAGTAGTGGGAAGAATTATACACAAATTTGCAATCATGTAAACATATGCTTTTTAATATTTTGGAATACATTTCTACAGTTTCAGGGTACCTTGTCATTACTCTGATTATTTATCTTGTCAATGTAGAGCATAGAGTTGTTTACTATTTATTGTAGAAAAGTGTGTAATTTCTTTTTCAGATATTATTCATCTTGGTTTATCAATACACATGTAGACAGTGTACCTGAAGCATCAGTTATTATTAGATAAAGCTAAAATTAGCCTTAACATAATGCATTTACTTCAGTCATATGTGTTAAAATATTTATGTTTATAATGGGAGATCAGTAGGCAGGGGTGGATCCAGCCAATCATTTTGGACGGGGCCATCAGAGATTTTTGTTGAATAATGAACATATTAGTTATAATATTGAATATTATTTATATAGTGTAGATATGATACTGAACAATATTATTGTTTAAATAATTACATAATTTGAACATAAATTAATATTTAAATCAATTTTGCAAAATAATGGAAGGAAAATGAAAACTCTTGGCCTTTTGGGTGGAACCATGGCCCCCAGGCCCCCTCCCCCTGGATCCACCGGTGTGAGTAGGGTTCATTATCATGCACATTTGAAATTGAAGATAAATAAAACATTTTTTAATGAATTAAGATGAATGGTTTAATCTTATATGTAATTAAATTATTTTACTTTTCATGCGATGAATACTTTTCCTTGGGGATATTTAAAATGTTCTAGTTCAGTTGGAAGTGCATTTCAGATAAACATATATATATTTAATTCCCCACAAAGAACATGCTTTTTGTAGCTATGTGTTTTGTGACATACCTTTCTAATATTCTTGTTACTTCTTAGGGTCCAAGTTATAAAAGAAGGTAGAAAGAGAAAACTTATTATTAAAGATTCAAAAGTCACTGATGGTGGCATGTTTTCATGTGTCAGCAATGCTGACAAGACTGAAGCAGAAATTATAGTACAATGTGAGTAATTGAATTTTCTTATATATGTTCTTATTTGGAAGAGAACAGCAATTTTTAGTTGTAGTTAATGTATTAATATTTGATTTTCACCACACAATCTCACTTTAACGTGTAGGCAAATATGTCGGAAATACTCTTTACACAGTGATTGTTCTCTTTAAGGTGATGTGATGAAATAATTGTAATGAATACTTTGAATGATTTTAATTATTTATTAATATTATATTAATTAAATACTTACTATTTTAACTAACATTTCAGACCAAAATCGTTTCAACAAGAAATTGAAAGATATTACAGTTATTGAACGAGAGAAACTGGTCTTGGATATTGAATTGCAAGATCAAACGGCTCCAGCGGAATGGTTTTTTAATGGGGAGCCAATTCAGGAGTCTGAGAGGTAAAACCCATATTTATGTAGTTCCTTTTCAGATGCAAAGTTATTAGCATATATTATGTATCATTATATTGCTTTAAATTGCATTGCTTCTATCTCATTAGTAAATTTATTATTCTCTTACAGAATTCAGATAAAGAACCTTGGTGGTGGTAAACACCAACTTATTTTTAACAAAGCTGAAATTTCTGATGAGGGTGAAATTCGATGTGATTCTGGTAAACTCTCCTCCTCCTGTAAAGTCTCTGTTAAGAAAGGTGAAGAGAGGCCAGTCATTGATTTTGGTGATACAGTGGAAGGACCATGTAGTAAGCCAATTATATTTGAAGTTCCATTTAAAGGTACGGATGATAATATAAGACGTTAGTGTGCACTACTGAATAGCAATGTACTATCTGTGATCTGTTTATTTATGTTAAAAACTTCTGTTACTATTCTTTAGTTATCCTTGATTTTATGCAAAACAACAACATGAAATGAATTACTTATTTACGGACTTCAGATTTTTGGCATTAAAGTCATGGATTTTAGGCACCTAATATAGGCTCTTAAAGACATAATTTTCAAGCTCCCTTATGATGAATTATTTTGGGAGTTTTAGCAAATATGTGCCTGCACATAATGGCATCTGGGGACACAGCACCACTGTGCACATGCATGCACTTGTGAAAACTCCTGAAATTGTTCATTAAAATAAAGTGTGTAAATCTGGTTAAAGGGTGAAAATAGACTGTACTATTTCTCAAATATGCAGTATAAAGTGTCCTGAAATAACTTTTTTTCATAAAATTTATTTTACTGAAATTGAATTATTAAGCACACGAGCATGAACTATTAAAAGCAAAACCAAAATGTAAATTCCTTGAGAGCGTAGGCTTCCGCGGCCAGAGTCAGTATTTAATTTGCTGTAATGCCTTACACCCTGAGGAAGGTTGCAGAATGGTGACTGAAACATTGGTACATTTGCCATGGATGCTGCATCACCCGGACAGCCAATTAAATTTAAAAAAAGTCTGTTCCTTGCTTTTCATAGGTAGAAAATTGTTTTTGTACCCTTGTATTTGGTGCATATTTTAATGTTGGATTAAGAGACAGTTCATTATTTGTATTCTGATGCAAAGTGTGGTCAGGGTTATCAAGAATTTTCATTTAAATACAATTCCAGCTTCAGTTGTGTGTTTCTGCTTAGAAATGCTTTAAATTTTATGTTCCACAATTTCAATTATACCAAACACAGAGCCATATTTGGACTATTACAGAACAAGTAGGCAATTTAAGGCTCTAATGGTTAAACAGGCATTTATAGACACTTTAAATGTTGATCCTTGATATCATCAAGTCATGAAATACATTCATAATTACGAATGTACATCAAAAGAGTAAAATTGACATTTGGCTAAAAATCTGTAGTTACTTATCAGAGAGTGTGGAAGACAAAATTAGTTAATTTAAATTTTTCTATTAAGCAAATGTATGTAATGTGCTAAAGTTTTGTCGTTTCCTTTATTTACTCTTTCTGCAAACATTTATATGAATTTCTTGTAAAATTTTCATCAATTAATCTTTTTAGTGGAAGGAAATAAACAGTCCCAGATTGAAGCTAAACTGATTAAGGATGGAAAAGCCTTGCCATTGAAAGAAGTGGAAATTGTTGTTCAAGAAGACAAAGCTGTTTATAAATTTAAGAAGCCAGTCCGTAATTTGTCTGGAGCATATCAAATTAAAATTTCAAATTCTCAAGGAGAAGATGTTAAAAATGTTCAAATTAATATGCAAGGTAGGTATCATTTAATTTCTCCAGGAAATTTCCATTTTTTTCTAAAATATTTTGCTAATTTGATATTTGTATAATTTCAATATCATAATTATCAAAATATAATATGAAAATCATTTTGAACTTGAAATATGTTCTTTTGTTAGTACATTTAGTTATTTCTTATATTTTCTTAACAAGGTGTTGATTTAAAGGGTGTGTGCTGTGGATGTCTTGTATTTCCCCATAAAACCATTTTACTGAAAGAAATCTCCATTTAACTGGATACTAAAGTAACTATTTCATTTTAAAGAACAGTTTCTGGTCAATAAAGAATCAAAATTCTGTAGAAGGTTTTATGCAATGTTACAAATATATTCCAAATTTCAGAAATATTGTTTTTTGAACTAATTTTTTAACTGAGAGGAGTCTGCTGTATGCTGGAAATAAAAAGTGTTCATGTGCTTCTGTTCTTAAGATACTCTTTCTTTCATATGTACACTCTGTTAGGAATAATGCTTTTCAGATTTGTTACAAATTTTGGTTAAGATGGAACTTTTATCTTTCCAGATGTACCATCTCCTCCATTGGATATCAATGTGACTGATATATTTCAAAACTCCTGTGTGGTGCACTGGAAACCATCTAAGGATGATGGTGGTACTCCAATTGCTCACTATGTAGTGGAACGTTTAGATCTCAGTGTTAAGGGCAAGTATTATTTTTTAACATATTTAATGAAGGGAATATTCTTATTCTTTGTTGCAAATATAAATGGTTTGAGCACCTAGTTGAAACCTCACTAGAAAAAAAAAATTGTTGAGATAACAGAAAATAAAAGACTAAGGACAATTGAAGTAGTAAACAAATTCAATAAAATGAATGGTACACAAAATTAGCAAATAACTTCAAGTTTATGGTCTATGAATGCAAACTATCTTGGAATGTAGATAGTTTAGTACCTTTGTATGATTGTCAGAAGTCAGATTGGAAAGTTTTATGAAAAACAAAAATCAGCAAAAAATGAACTGGAGGTCAAGCACATAAGACGTAGAAAAATATGAATGCAGACTTTTTAATATGATACAGAATGAATGCAAGCAAAGAAGAGTTCACAAAATAAGTAAGAATGAAAGTGTTTATTTTAAGCCTAAAAACAGAATGAGGTACAAAGAAATAAAAATAATTGATTCTATTTTTAGTTATTACATTATTTAATTATTATTTTGTGTTACATGAAATAGAAGAAATCTTTTTCCACAACTTATTTTGTATTTTACTTAAACTTTTGCAGAAAAATAATGGGTGTAGTATTGTTGATTATTGAACCTCCTCTCCAAACAAATAAATACTCATGTGTATTCATGTACATTCATGTGCATATTAATTTGCAGGAGGATGGGATAGTGTAGCTGAAGTTCCTGTAGACAAACCAACTATTTTCAAATGTGAAGATCTTGTTCACAAGAAAGAGTATAAATTTCGAATTCGAGCAGTTAACAAGCTTGGTTCTTCTGAACCAGTACTCTTCAATAAGCCAGTATTAGCAAAGGATCCATGGGGTATGTATGAATGCAGCTCTATCAAAGGAAGTCTTAAAAAAATATAGTACAATTTTTATTATACTTTAATTTTTTCCTTTACATGTTTGTTATTGCTAACTTCATCAGTATTTTTTGAGAAAAGCTTTATAAACCAAACTAAATTAATACTTTCATTAGTAAGAAATTGGAAATAAGCGATCTATATTATTGTTCTAAAACTAGTTCCATGCTCTCAGATTTGCTCATATCCTTTAAGAAGCAATAAGAAAAAAAATGTTTTTATAGATGAGCCGAGTAAACCCACTAATGTTGAAGTCACTGATTGGGATAAGGACCATGCTGATCTGAAATGGACCAAACCTGATAATGATGGTGGAGCACCAATCACTGGTTATGTTATTGAATTCAAGGTGAGAGTCAAAGTTTGAAAGTATGTGTGAAAAGTTCACTATAATATTATCTTATGTGCGTTGAAAAATTGTGTTATTCTGATTAATAGGAGAAGTTTGGAAAGGATTGGCAAACTGGTAAAGTAATAGAAGGAGATATAACTGCAGCAACAATAGAAGGACTGAAGGAGGGAACACAGTATGAATTCCGCATTCGAGCTGTCAATAAAGCAGGTCCTGGTGAACCAAGTGATGCTACTAAACCAATTATAGCAAAGGCAAGATTTGGTAAGTGGGAAACTGCATTTTTATACTATTATGTTGAAACTGGTATTACTACCATTAATATTAAAGTATAGCAGCCATCACTTTCCTTTTATTACTTAACTCCAATAAATAATTTACAGCTTCATTTTCATTTCTTGGGTTTCCCATCTGTTGTAATCTTCTGTAACACCTACTGCACAGATTGCTTTGGTATTTCACTGTTAGATGTATAAAATGTCCTACCCATTGCAATCTACTTATTTTCCATGACACTATCCCGATCACGGCCTTTTGACTCCTCATTAAAACTGTTGACAAAACTCGAGTGTCACCCAGTTCAACTTTGCACAATGTTTACTATCATGGCGCAATACAAATTTGACACACTTATTGGAATTAAGAAATAATTCGGAATCGAGCATTTACATTGATGATTTTTCTTTGATTTGCGGGAAAAATCTGTGGCTTTATGCAACACAAGCATCAGCACAGTCTTTTCCAAAAAGCATGACCCCCCAGTCTGCACCTAGCCCATGAGTCATTTCAATAACTTTAACAGTGGTCTGTCTTTTAATTCCTGCAAGAAGGTGCTAGAGTAGAGCGCGCCATTGTGTTGCCACCAGTTTGTAAGGAAGTTGAAAGGCCCTGATGGAGATTTTGATTTTTTCATATCATTGTCATTTAATCTGCAGTTGACATTCTCCTCCTATTATTTTCCTCTCAAAAAAATTAAGTAATTTTTTGTACTGGCTGTCATGACACACAAATTTATCCTATAATCTTCTGTAGGAAATAAATTGCCTTATTAGCATTTCATATTCTGGCTTTGTATCTTTCCCCTCCCTTATTTCCAGGTCATAATTGACCTCAGGTAAAAGAAGCTTTTCACAATCTACAAATCATATTTCTTGCAATCTGCACAAAATACGCTTTTTATCACCATAATAGTCATCTTTCCTTTGTTCCTATCAGACCCACTTTTTTAAAGCTTTTTGTAAACTCAATGAGTCTCTATTTCTATTGATTTTTATATTTTTGTGATAATATACTACTTTACTAATATAAAAAGAGTTGATGCAAGACCAACTCCCTGTTTCAGGCCTGTTGTAAAATGGACCTGTGAATTTATTTTCTATCTTCATAATTTTGACAGTTTGTTCATAGTACCTTGAAGTAGCTTTACTAATTCTTGGCATTCCAAACTTTGAGAGAATTTTTAATATCTTCCATTGCATACCATTGTAAGCTTCTTTGAAATTATGAATAGATGTCATAACTCAATGTTGTGTTCTCAGATTTTTTAGCGCAGTTGTTTAAGGGTGAATAATTGATTAGTTGTAGTGTGTAGATTGTAGATAGTTGTAGTGTAGATTATTGAAAAAAACTGATATTCATAGCAAAATAAATTTTAATTGTGTAAAAAGAATTATTGGCTCATTGTCCCACAACATTATTGTTTACAGTTAAGCCATTTATTATTGGTGATGATTTAAAAAATATTGTGGTCAAGAAAGGGCAAGTTATCAAGTTTGATATTAAATATGGTGGTGAGCCAGAACCAGAAGTACGTTGGGAACTGGAAGGCAAAGAACTTAAAGAAGACAAAGAAGAAAGGTATTCTAGATCTTGTTTAAACATTTTACTGCCTGAACAATTTTGTACTATTTTCTAAATTTTTAGTTATAATTGAAATTAATATTTCTTAATTTAATTTTAATGAATGTTTTTTAAAGTTTAAATTTTCATGGTCTATAAAATTGGTACCTATTAGATAACACCATTCAATATTAAAGATACCACCTAATACAATTTATCTAGTTATTTTGTTTGTTGCAGTTTGTCAACTCAAAGACATTTTTATATTTTATTGGTACATAATAAATATAATACTTCTTTTAAAAATTATGAACTTGCATTTATTTGTACTTGTGTTATGTATTTCTCAGGACCACAATTGACAAATATGAAAAGAATACTGTTCTGACAGTTCGAAGAGTGACTCGTGCTGATTCTGGTAAACATAAATTGATCCTGACAAACAGTTCAGGTGTTTGTGAGGGTGTTGCAGATGTTGTTGTGTTAGGTAAATTACACTTTGTTAATTAACTTTCAAGGTAAATTAAACATCTTAATTTATCTAGATTTCAATCCTGATGTTGCTTTTGGGAATTTTTTCTATTATAGACAAACCAACAAGGCCTAATTCACTCAAGGTAGATGAAGTGAGAGCCAATCATGTGAAGGTTAAATGGCAGAAGCCTGAAGACAATGGAGGTAGTGATATTACTGGATATGTTCTTGAGAAGATGGATCTTGATACTGGACGTTGGATTCCAGCAGGAGAGGTAACTAAAATTTCATTAAACAGTGTAAATGCTGAAACAGAGATATTTATTGGTTAACATGCTCCAAGTAAATGAAATTCAAAATGCCTTGTCTGTGACACACGTGTGTAGTGCTTAATCATAGAGCTTAATCATTTTTCATTTCTTTTAAACAAGATAATTTTTTTTTTCTTATTCATTCTCATCCAACTTAATTTTTGTTTCAATTAGGTAGGGCCAGATAAAGACTCCTTCACATTTGATGGATTGACTCCCAAGAAAAAGTACAAATTCCGAGTAAAAGCTGTTAATAAAGAAGGGGAATCGGAACCTTTGGAAACAGATGAAGCTATCCTTGCAAGAAATCCTTATGGTAATACTAATTCTAAGTAACAGAGAATTTATTAAATAGTTTACATTGATAACATTTTTTTATACACTAGCGAATAAAGAATAGGTAGTAAACTAAAAATGTTTGTTATTTTGTAGATGAACCTGGCCGTCCTGGTAAACCAGAAATCTTTGATTATGACAATAAGAGTGTTAGCCTTAGATGGGCCAAACCAGAAACAGATGGTGGGCGTCCAATTACCCATTATACCATTGAAATGAAAGATAAATTTTCTGTGGAATGGGTTGAAGTGTATAAAACACCTGATAATAATCCAGAAGGAAAAGTAGAAGACTTAAAAGAAAAAATGGTTTATCAATTTAGAGTGCGTGCTCATAACAAAGCAGGCTTTGGTGAAGCAAGTGAACCAACAGATAATCATATCTGCAAACACAAACACAGTAAGAAAATTATTTTTGAAAATGTGATATAATTAATTTTGAAATTCAATATTAACTTTTTACTTACATATTCCTTGTTTTTACACAGTGAAACCCAGAATTGATCGTGCTACATTTAAGGGTGTGACAATCAAAGCTGGCCGTACTCATAAGTGGTCAGTAGATATCAGTGGAGAACCACCTCCAGCAATATCATGGGTGTGGCGAGACAACATTGCTCTTGTAAATACAGAGAGAATAAAAATTGATAATATAGATTACCATACAGACTTCCAAATCATCAACGCCACGAGAAGAGATACTGGCAAATACACTCTGATTGCAGAAAATGCATCAGGAAAAGATACAGAAACAGTTGAATTAACAGTATTAGGTAAATGCTTTTATCTACTATATTTTTTCAGGAAATAATATATTTTATTTAAAAGTTTATGTAAATGTAAATTATATGTAAAAGTTTAATGAACACATTTTTTTTCAACAGGAAAACCGAGTATGCCAAAGGGTCCTTTGCAAGTGACTGATGTCACAAAAACAAGTGCTAAGGTTAAATGGGAAAAACCAGAAGATGATGGAGGTACACCAATTCGTGAATATGAAGTAGAGAAAATGGATTTGGCCACAGGAAAATGGGTGCGTGTTGGACGTGTTCCTGGAGACCGAGCAAATCCTGAAATGGAAATTACTGGTCTTGAACCTGGAGCAGAGTACAAATTCCGAGTAACTGCAGTCAATGATGAAGGTGATTCAGAACCACTGGTGGCTGAAAAATCAATTGTTGCCAAGAATCCTTTTGGTAAGTAAAATATTTTGTTAAACAAAATATTTCTAGACAGAAAAAAATTATTGCACATTAGAGTGAATGAATGGAGTTTTTTCAACATATAGTATTTCTCCCCAGAATAAAGGCTACTTTAGCCGGCCTGGATAGCCAAGGTTGTTAAGGCTAAAGAGCCATAGCTGCCTCGGCTTGAAGGGTCATGGTTTCGAATCCCGCCTTGGGCATGGATGTTTGTGTTGTCCTTTGGTGTTCTCCTTACAGTTCCCCCTGTAGTTTTAAAATGACAGTGGTCGCTATGTGAGCAAGATGTTGAAAAGCAAACTTAAACTAGTGGTGCTATAGAATGGCACTGACTTTCCCGTATTAGTTTTCTATTTCTTTTGGTCTCGGCTAGCTACTCGGACTTGCCACATACTCTTGCCAGCTGCCATCTATCGCCGATCAAAATACTTTTTTTTTCTCCTAATTGTTGAGTGGAAATATTATTTTAAGATTATTAAAGAACAGTATCATTTCATCCTAAATGGCAAGTTTCTTTGAAAAATTTGGTGCTGTTTTTAAAAAGCTGGTGTTTAAGCACTACTCTAAATTCGAAATTTAAAGCTCTTTTTCACAGAAAATTTTTGAGTTTTTGAAAAACTTTATTTGAAGTACTTTTAAGGACTTTAACACACAAATATAATATTATTTACAAATTGCTGGAAATGCGCATATCAACAGCATGAGAGATATTTCAAAAAATGTATATTTGTGTAATTTTTTAAAAAACAACAAAATACATCAAAATGAACTTTACGACATATTCAATTAGTACATTACGACGAGTTCAATTAGTACTATTTGTTCGAAATGTTTGAAGAAAAAATTTGGAGCCGTTTTGAGAAAATGGCGTTTGAGCATTTTCTGAAAATGCGGAATTTTAAGCTAGTTTTCACAGTTAAGTTTTTCGAGAAACTTAATGTGACATTATTTAAAGTACATGTACTCATAAATACAATACTGTGAATAAATTGCCATTAATATAAATGTTAACGACATGAGAGACAAGTCAAAAAAATTAGAGTTTTGTAAAAACAAAAGAACAGAGTTATATGACGTATATATCATCTTATACATTTAGCACTACCCTTAACAAAAGTTTAAAGAAAAAATTTGGAGCCGTTTTTGAGAAAATCTTGTTTTTGTATTTTTTTAAAAAATTGCACATATTGCACGCAATATTGCGTGAAAACTACTACAATTTTCAAAAAAAATGTACATGACCTTCATAAATGAACTCACTATGGAGAACAAATGATATTTGAAGGAAATCCCCATATTCAATTTGTAGTTGTAGGAAGATACCGAAAAAACATCATACTTTTACAATTTTCGAAAATTCTGAGTTAACCGTGAAAATCGGACCTATGCCACTTTTATAAGTGTATATTAATCCATTTTTAGAAGAAATTTAAAGAAAAAATTTGGAGCCGTTTTTACGAAATATTTGAAAATGTCCTGGGGGCTTCGTGTAAAGAACCCCCAAAAATCTCTAAGTTTCGACTTGAGCCAGATGGACAGAGGTATCTTCAATTTGGAAAAAATTCTACGCATGGTTTAGGCGCTAGTAGTGCTAACGGGCGACACGGACCGACGGACCGACGGACGTATCAGGGGACCCCAAAACGTGTATTTCCGTTGAAATCTTGTAATCAATTCTCCGCAGCATTACATAACTTTTTCTATACTACGTATACACGGAGGTAAAGAATAGAAAGTGCATATAAATAACTCAGATTTGCAAAATAATATTCTCAGAAAGCTGAATGACGTGATTTTTATATTCATTGGTCTGCCGAAACAAAAAATTGCAACATAACTAATAACGCAAAAATTGCATACGCAACTAATAACGCATTTACGTTCTTTCAGGCTTATTTTACAACATTGAGTGTAAGATGCTGTGAGCATGTTTCATGTTCCTTCAGTCTGGGGACCTTTGTGTTATTTTACTCTCTTTGTCACCTATTTGAATGATTTCCAAGTTTAATTTTTTATTTTAGAATCAATAAAAAGTAGCTATTAAGTTGATATAAATCTGACCATGCTCAAGGCCTTGGGAATTTGAAATAATTTATATAGTTTTTGGAAGTTTTTTATATGACGTTCCTGGGATGGTTTCAAACTTTTCCCAAAAATTGCTCCAAATTTTTTGCTTGAATAGAATAAAGTATGCGTCTGAAAATGTTGCTATTTGAACAAACAATTACAACAAATATGAGAAAAATTGATTTCGTATCAAATGCATAATTGTTGATAGGCGTGACTACTGGTGAACCATAATCCACTGAATTGCCAAAAAACTATACTTGATGGTGAAAAAATTAAGTCAATTTTGTTTTGTTCAGTAGTCACTAAGGCGGAAGTCACTAAGAGGACATTAGTGTACAAATTCGTGCAGTTTGTTTATGTCCAATGTTTTGGTTGCAGACTCGTGTAGGCAATGAACATAAAAACTATTTTTAAAAAAAGAAGAAGAAAGAAAGAAAGAAAAATTTGGGAATTACAAAACTTGGACTTTTCTGTGTTGCTAATTATATCTCCATGACCAATGAATGCTCATTTGTCAGTTTTTTAAACTCATCATCACAAAATTATTGTGTAAAGGTTTCAAATTTTATAAATACTTATTACGCTGAAAAAGTCTGGAAAATACATCTGTTACAAGAAACATGTATTAGACATCTTCAGAGCACTTACAACACAATAAAAATATAGATGATCACTTCAAAAATATAAGAAAAGACCGCATAAGACTCTTTAAGAAAAAGAGTAAAAATAATAAATAAAATGGGTCGCTTATTTGGAATGATGATTTAGAACAAGGTGTTAGAAAGAAAAAAAATTGTATTCCAAGTGACAAAAAAAATGAAAATCTACAAAAATATAAAACTTTGGCAGCAGAAGCAAATAAATTGGTACAACATGCTCTGAGACAAATCTGGAAGAGATACATTGCAAATATAGATGATGTACACGAAAGGCTGACAATTGCATATAAAATTCTTAAACATCAAAATTGGTCCCAAAAAGATGATGCAGATATTAAGATAATTTCTGGAGAAGATGGATCCATTATTTTAAACACCAATGGACAGACAGAACATTAAATGTATTTGATGCAGAGAAAGTTGATAAGACCCTGGCTGACGAAGATAAAATAGACATGTTAGGACTTACAGAATCCTTGCGCCACTACAAGAGTAGAAAGTGCCATGAAAGTCACAGAGTGAATACAGAGTTGATCAAATCCCTTTGGAAGAGAAAAGATGGCTCTTAGATCTATTGAACTAAGTTTGGCTACGGAAAAGAAAACAATACCATCTAGCTGGAAGATTACCATTTTTATACTGATTTTTAGACAAGGAGACTTGAAAAAATGTTCCATCTACAGAGGAATAAGTTTACTTGATAAAGCATGTAAAATATTTTCCTAAATCATAATTCAAAGCCTTCAGAAAATAGGAGTCAAAATTTTTCCTGAAGAGCAACCAGACTGGGAAAGGCAGATTGTGTACAAACAACATATTCATGATGAAACAAATTGTAGCAAAGTTTAGAATATACAACTTGCATCTTCTATTTGTGGATTATATCGAAGCTTTTGACAATATTAAAAGAAACAAACTTTGGAATATCATGTAATCTACAGGTATCCCTCTACATTTAGTAAGAGTTATAAGAAATATGATTTTTTTTGTTTTGTTTTAAAGTTTAAGATTGCATTAACTTCTAGGTCACTAGCAACCACTATTGCATGTAACAGTATGGTAACTACAAGGATGACATTATGATGATGATAAGGGGTGAAAGAACAAACACAATACAACCATGCCTGAGGCGGGACTCGAACCCGCGATCCTTCGGTCCAAGATCGCTATGGCACTACTACCTTTGCAATCTCGGCCATCCGGACTGGCAAATATGTACAACGGTTCTAAAATATCTTCCAAAACAAAGAAAAGCTAAATCTTCACTGCAACAATAAATTTAGGCATTAGAATAGGCTGCAGCATGTCACCTGTTTTATATAATTTATACCTTGATGAAGCTGTCTGGCTATGGAAACAACAGCTAATTAATTTTAATATATGAGAAGACTTGTGTGAATATAAATTCTTAAAGAGCCTAATGTATCTGGATGACCAGCTGATCTTTGCAAGTGATGAAAATGTGATGCAAAGAGGGCTATTTCAACTGCAAAATTACTAAAGAGTTTAATCTGACAATTCCTAAAGAGAAACAAAAGTAATGTCTTTTGTGGGTAAGTGGCCTGTAAGATGCAAGATGTAATATGTGAAAAATTTGTAGAGCAAGGTTCTTCATTTAACTTTCCAGGCCACCAAATTTTGTATCACAGAGAACTCGATATTGATAGAAAAATAGAAAGATTCAACCTAATGTGTGGTACTACAAAAATAACTTTAGAGAATAAAACCAGAAAGGCAGATAGATGAAATTTTATAAACAAAACATGGAGTATGATTGCTAAGCCACATACTGAGAATGGATGATGGCAGAATGCCAAAAAGCTTAATTGACTTCAGACCTCAAGAAAGAAGAAGTGTTGGGTGTCCAGTCAAAAAATGGTGCCAGCAATAGGAGTCACAAAAGGCTCTGGGCCTAAAGCTTGAAGAAGAAAAAATATTTATTTATTTTCATTTATATTTTTTTCTGTGTATCTTTTATTTATTTTTTATTTATATTTTTTAGTGTATCTTCTTTATAGTTTCATTACAGTATACTATTTACCTTTCTACATGCAGCAAAGGAATAATTATGAAAGGAAGTCATGATAATTTGAATACAATAAATACACTCTCACAAACATGTAGAGCTTTGTATTATATTTGTATTATAAAAAAGTGATTTGCCTTTGTAGTTATAAAATAAAATTTATATATAAATCATATACAAATATAATTTGCCTTTCTGGTCATAATTTTTACCTTTCTTCTAAAACTATACAAAAGATTAAATGGTGACCATGAGAACAGACAATATGAGAATCCAATTTGTTATAATCTTTCTTAATCTATTGTTGCAACATGCAATCACACAAGGTAAATCAAATAGAAAATACTTTAACAATAATATGAAAGAATAAATTATCTCAGGTATTTCCATTATTTATTCAAGGAAGATAAAATATATGTGCAGTGTCTGATATTTTACGTTAGATTTTCATTTTTCTTGTCTCATTAATAAACTGGATAAATTAGTTTTAAATTAGAATTAAGATTTTAGCAATAAAATTAGTTTAATGTTAATTTTGTTTTGTTAACTTCCCTAACCTCTGCTTACTCAATACAATGAATTGCTGCTTTGTTGCTTTTAGATGAACCTACTAAGCCAGGAACTCCTGAGATAACTGATTATGACAATGAAAGTGTTGACTTGAAATGGACCAAACCAGAGAGTGATGGAGGTGCCCCTATTGAGAAATATATTATTGAAAAGAAAGACAGGTTAGTATTTTCTAAGATATTTCTCTAATCAAGAAGTCACAGTTTTGTATTGTTCATCAATACTAAATTAATTAACTGTGTGTTAATTAATCAGAGTGTGCAGAATGTTGCAGAAGCGTGAGAATAAGTTTAAAACATATTTCAGTTCTTGAATTATTATTTTCAAATTCAAAAACAATTAATATCTAAGCAGTAGATTTTTGGTGTTATTTTGCATTTGAATAATTAACTCTTCATTATGATTTATTACCCTTTAAATTAACTGAGAAATCTAAATACATTTATCAGGGTGAAATACACAAATATTTTCATATAGGTAATATCTGTAATGATGTTTGTCTTGAATGTTCTATAAAGGTTTAAGCCTGATTGGGAAAGAGCAATTGAAGTTCCTGGAAATGTTCTTGAAGCTAAAGTACCTGAATTGAAAGAGAGAGCAGAATATCAATTCCGTGTGATTGCTGTAAACAAAGCTGGACCGTCACCTGCATCGGATCCCACTAAATCACATCTTGTTAAACACAAAGCATGTATGTATATGATTTAGTACACTTGTTTAGAGTTAACTACTTTCTTCATTCCTTGAGATTGTAAAAGTACATCTACAAACGATTATAATTATTTGAAATGTTCAAAATGACATAATTAATTTTACCACTGTGGCTGTACATCTCTGATTATAACTAATTACACAATTTAAAGGTATCTTTAGCTTATTTAAGTTTCATAAATCATCAGACAATTCTTACATTCATGTAATGAAAGCATTCGTGACGAGGTAAAAGTATGTAACATTGATTAACATTGGATTTGACCTCTATCATATTTTTTCTATTTTTTTAAGTGATTGTCAACCATTGTAGAAATTTAATTCATTTTTCACAGTGAAACCACGTATTGATCGTACAAATCTTAAACCTATTGTCATTCGTGCCGGAAAGAGCGTCAAATATGATGTGAATGTCCGAGGAGAGCCTCCTCCAGAGATTACTTGGCAGTTACAAGATAAGGAGGTATAGTACTAATTTAATGATGAAATTATAGAGATCTTGTTTAATCTATTGTTTTCTAGCATGTTATTTCTTAATGAAGTGATGTGTATTCTGGATATATTGCTGTAAAAACATTCATGCAAAGATGACATATTTATCTTGAATTAGATTTAGTTGACAATTAGTGAAAAGAAGTTGAGATTCTACATTTCCTTAAGGTTTCAAATTTTTCCTATTTAATTAACTAAGTATATTTAAAACGAATTTATAAATGGGTAATTTCATATCACCACTGTTTCAATAAAATTTCAAGTTTATATAATACTTTGGCATTACAGTTTGTAGAATATTTCCTTGTGTGTATTCCTTTTATCATACAGCATTTGGTTAATTTAACTAGTTTAATAACAATTGTATTGTTATTATAATTGTTGTTGTCAGTAATTACCACTCTCATTATCAATATGAATATCATGTTTCATGCTTTAAACATGTTTTTCTGTTACACATTAGTGTGTTCTTGTTATCTTAGGCAGGGGTGAAATAATGCATAAACTAAGAATGGGTTTTGGGTGATCCCCACTGTAAAGGGGCACCCAATAACTTTAATCAAATTTTATATTAATTGATAAATATATCAAAATATTTTAATGTTAATATTTTAAATTGCTGAGGTGAGAGTTTATTTTCGTATGCATTTTTATTATATATGTATAGTATTATAAAGGGAACTTATTGTTTGGACTTGCCCTGGTGTTCTTAATCCGGCTCTGAACTTGTAGTTATTGACTTGAATCATCAGCATTAATTTGTCATTTTATGAGAGATTAAATAATTTTATTTTGATAGCATTCTCTTTAATAGTAATGCATCATCTGGAGGCAATCTAGATTTTTGAACTGTGAGATTATAATAATTTTATAATAGATAAATTAAAAACAATGTTTCCAAAAAAGTAATGTATTATCTCTATGGTTGAAACAAATTTACAGAATGAATACTTGTCATCTATTAAATCCATGTGCCAACAAGAGTTTAAAAAAACATTACTATCAATTAATGAAATACTTCTCGCTTGAATCACAACTACCCATTTGACTCTGCATGAGTGATTGTAATATTTTTTATTTCATTTTTTGAAAATCAAGTAATAGGTTTCAATTGACAATCTTGCACTACAAATACAGTTTAAACCATATCATGAATATTCAAAATTTACGAACTTGTAAAATTATTTTTGTTAAATAGAATTACAAATTTCTTGCAAGATTTGTATTGTGTGTCAACATACAGTATCACATCACTTCTTATTTGAACGAGAAAGGTACAGAGAAAAAACAATCAGACTCCCCCATATCATATTTTCTAGAAGAGCAGTAAGTTTGAAAGGTTATAGTTCTCAAATTGTCTACAGATATTTCAAAAACATTTAACTAATTAAAACACTAACATTTAACATTTAACTTTCAAAAACACTTAACTAAACATTTAACATCTTCCTAATTTTTTATCGAGGGAATTGCACACGATTACAGCTTTTCTCTTGAATTATCAGATGGCTTCACTAACTAATTGTGATTTTTTTTATCACTATAGTTCTTTCTCTGAATCCTTCATTTACTTTCAGTTCATAATACTCCCTAGCATTTTCATTAAATGTGACAAAAGAGAAAGAATGGTTCAGAGACAGGATAGCTCTGGGGTTGGCACGTTTGTAGGGACAGTATTCATTTGCTGTGGTTAGTCACCTTTTCCAGTAAATGTTACCCACTAAATCTCAATGTTATTCCATAGAAATAAACTTCTAGGGTAATTTGTCAGTTCATTTGTTTATTTGGTCTTCATTTTAATTAGGTCAAATCAGAAGGAAATTATGAGATTATCAATGTCGACTACAACACAAAATTCTCACTCAACGATGCTATTAGGAAGAATTCAGGTCTTTATAAAATTATCGCTGTGAATCAGCATGGAAGAGATGAAGCAGAAGTTGAAATCACTGTTTTATGTGAGTATCAATGTTAAGTTTTGCTATTAATGTGTCTAATGTGTCTAACATACTGATGTTTCAGAAAATGCTAAAAAGCAAATAGTCTTTGTCTTCTTCAGCTCTTTATTGAAATTACATTTTCTTTTGCTAATTCTCAAGAAAATTGAAACATTTACTCTATTTCAGCTGCTCCTTCAAAACCAAAGGGTCCTTTGAAGGTCTCAGATGTCTCAAAGAATGGATGCAAGCTAAAATGGGATAAACCTGAAGATGATGGTGGAAAGCCTATCACTGGCTATGTTGTAGAGAAACTTGATAAAGAAACTGGCAGATGGGTTCCTGTTGGACGTACAAATGAGCCAGAAATGGATGTGAAAGGATTGCAGGAAGGTCATGAATATCAATTTAGAGTTAAAGCTGTGAATGAAGAAGGCGAGAGTGAGCCTCTCGAAACTGAACGTGGAACTCTTGCGAAAGATCCATTCAGTATGTGTACATTTCATTTACAAATTTTTATACATTATTCACGTAGAGAGTGAATTATTCTACAATAAAAAATATGTATGAATACTAAGACCTGTAGGATCCAATTGTTTTGAAACTACAAAGTTTATTTACATTATAAATTACTTTTCCAAATTTTAAAAATTAAATTTTGTTTCCTCAGTCATACTGTATTCTCCTACTTTTCGAAAGTACTTATTTTCCTCTTTTCAAAAGTAAGTTTTGGAAAGAAATTAAGTTTTTATGTAGTACATAAACAATTTCTCTAAAAAGTTTAAAATTAATTGCTTATTTTGTCAACCACTGGCCTTTAGTATGATTGTATTTTTTTGTCACTGTCATCATCATCATCATTATTGTCATGATACCATTATCTAAATTTACTAATAATGCTGAAATATCTTTGTCTAGTAGCATTTGAAATATTCAGTGATGACTTTGATATTTATTCACAGCTGTTCCTGGCAAACCTGGAACTCCAAATATTGATGATTGGGATGTTGACCGAGTTGATCTCAAATGGGAACCTCCCAAATCCACAGGAGGAGCTCCAATCACTGGTTATATAATAGAGAAGAAAGAGAAATTTAGCAGCTCTTGGGATGAAGTACTGACCACAAATGTATGTTTTTTGTCTAATTTAATATTTTCCTGCAATTTTTTATTGATGATGTGTTGTTGGCGGTCCAAATAAAAGAAGTAAAGATATTGGCCAACATTGATATTTTATGTAAAAGCAGCTTTTGATGGCACAGCCATCATTGTCAGTTATCTGCTGTTCAGAAGCCAGAATTCTGGTGACAATGATGGCTAAACTGTCGAAAGCTGCATTAAATAATAATGTTGGCCAAGGCAAAGCCTCTAATTCTTTTATTTCTCCTGTATATTGCGTAGCCAAATGACATTATCTTGAAAATTTGTTTACAACATAATTTCGATTTCTTACATGATTAGTACTTTCCACCATGCACTCTTATTTGAACAGAGTTTGAAATTAAAAATGTTAATATCTTAACTTCCAAAATGTGATTTCAAACAATTGTTAAGTAATTATGAATTACTAAACATAACTCTTAAGAGTGGACTATCCATAATTGTGATCTGAATTAAATATTTGTATTGAAAGTGATTAATATATTCATATTTTCAGTCAAATACTCCTGAAGCTCGTGTTACGGGATTGAAAGAAGGAAATCAGTATCAGTTCCGAGTGAGAGCTGTAAATAAGGCTGGACCATCAGAACCTAGTGAACCAACCAAACCACATATTGCCAAAGCACGATTCTGTAGGTATCTTTTGATTATAATATTTAATATGTTTTAGTGAATGATATCAAAATTAACATTTTTTTTTCTGTTTTAATGTAGTACGACCCATTATTAATCGTGAGAAACTGCAGAAGGTTACTGTTAGAGCTGGTCAATTCGTCAAATTTGATGTTGATGTCAAGGGTGAACCTCCTCCAACTATTACATGGAGCTTTGCTAACAAAGTTCTAGAAAACTCTCCAACAACAAAAATTGAAAATGAAGATTACAACACTAAACTCACTCTCTCTGATACTACAAGAAAAAATTCTGGCATATACACTATCAAAGCTGAAAATGATTCAGGAAAAGATGAAGCTACAGTAGAAGTTGTAATTTTGGGTAAGTGTATGGTTGACTGATCTTCTAGTATTTAGGCAAATGTCTGTTTATTTCTTTCTGATATAGACACTGAAAATTAATTATGAACACTTTTTATGACATAACTATATCAAAGAACCACATTTATAGTATCTAAGAATACCAATTTTATTATTAGGGCCTAGAAAGGTCTATTCATCTCATAAACACCCAAAATGCATGTATTAATACATTTAAAGCAATGGAAAACACAGTCAGAAGCATTTCTTGACAGAATACCTGATTGAAGCTGAAATTAAATAAACATTCTTGGATTATTCTGCCTGCACTTGGCATCAAAAGAGGAGACAATTTAGTATTCTAATATTCCAACACTAACATATGCACCTGACATAAGTGTTAGAAGAGATCATTTTATGCTTATAAAGTGATTCTCAGGAAAAAGTCATAGATGTTTTGGCATTCACATTTCTACCTGTGTTCCTTTATTTAATTTTGTGTATTTAATAAAATAGTGTGTAAATTGTATATGAAATATTTTCATGTCAATTTATATTCTGTATTTAAGAAATTAAATGGCATATTTCTGTCTTTTAAGAGCCTGAGTTAGGTACCTAATGTAAAGAGCCTAAATATCTGAAATCTACATGTAACACCCACTAACTAACACATATCAAGATGTTATTACATCTGACTAAAATCAATTTCTATTTTTTTTAGACAAGCCAGGCAAACCTGAAGGTCCACTTGATGTAACCGACGTTCACAAAGAAGGTTGTAAAGTCAAGTGGAATAAACCTAAAGATGATGGAGGCTTACCTCTCACGGGATATGTAGTTGAAAAAATGGAAGCTGGAACCGGTCGCTGGGTGCCAGCTGGTTTTGTTGATCCTGACAAAACAGAACAAGAAATAACTGGCTTAGAGCCAAATAAGAAATACCACTTCCGTGTTAAAGCAGTTAATGAGGAAGGAGAGTCAGAGCCCCTTGAAACTGATAATGCCATTTTGGCCAAGAATCCATATGGTGAGTTTAATGGAGTGCTTCAAATAATATGTAATACTTTAAATATGAAGTCAGAAATAAAAACCAAACTGTTTCCTTTTAACAGATCCTCCATCAGCCCCTGGATTACCAGAAATTATTGATTGGAGTGAAAATATGGTTAAACTCAAATGGGAACCACCTATCAGGGATGGTGGAGCTCCAATTACTGGTTTGTAGCAATACTGGGAATATTCTTGCTTCTATTTTAATGGCTTATTCTTGAATGCTTCATCATGTTTCTCTGCATTTCTAAACGACTTTAATTTTGCTTCTTCCTAATTATTTTCAGTTTTTAATCAACCAAGCTCTTGCATTTGCTGTGTATAGCTTCTCAAGGGATGCATTTTATTGTAATACTACATTAGAGCATTCTGGACAATGTTTGTTTTATATATGATACAGTTTAGAGCACATCAGTCTGTATTCAAATGATTTAAATTCTAAATGATTTAACTGGCATCTCAGAAACACATATTAAAACTAAAAGTTATAATCTGCGAAGTACACTTTTCTACATACTATGTTAATTTTAATGGATGAAATGAAAGAGTAATTCTAAAGGATAAATTGATATGTTATTCAGGTTTTATAGTAGAAATGATGGATAAATATGGAGGTACATTTGTGAAGGCTGTAGAAGTTGGTCCAACATGTCAGGCAACAGTACCAAAATTGGAAGAAGGTAATCAATATCAATTCCGAGTACGTGCCGTTAACAAGGCTGGACCTGGAGAACCTAGTGAAGCCACTAATCCACATACTGCCAAGGCTCGTTTCCGTAAGTATCAGCAAAGAACAAGAAATTTGACTTAAAATGTTATAATCTAGGACAAAAAACAGGTCTTGAGACTTACTGTTCCCTCTTTTCTCTAATCATATTTGGGATTGAGATTCAATGCTGATCTGACCCTATAAAGCAAGATTTACTTATATTTTATTAATCATGACTTTAAATTTTGTTTGCCCTTAGTGTAGCTGTTAAAGTGAAGTGTTTTGAAAACTCTGGAATATTATAAAACTGTTGATTATGAAATTAATAAACTCAATTTTTTGCAGTTAAACCTCAAATTGATCGTACAAACTTGCAGAATATCACTGTCAAAGTCGGTCTTACTGTTACTCTTGATGTTAACATAATTGGAGAACCTCCACCAGCTGTCACCTGGTATTTCCAAGATAAGGTAAACCTGTTAAAATTATTCTTTTAGAAGAAAATAGAATATCATGTCCAGGCAACTGTAAAGAAAAGAACTGAAGATTTAAAAAAAGATTGTAAACAAATAATAATCATATGAATTAGAAGAATTTCCAATATAACTTTCATACTATCATTAAGATATATGCATTTATAGACAGTTCTCATGATATCAGTTAGTGTTTTTTGAATGAAATTTCATGATTGGTTTTTGTGATAATTTCTGTTGTTGTTGGTTTTTTTTGGTAAAATTATATCAATATGTGTATAACTTCAGGGAAATGTGAGATAATTTGTTCATTGAATATTATGTTCAATTTTAGGAACTAAAAACTGAAGACCAAGTTAGAATAGATAACATTGACTACAATACAAAATTCTTTATAATGAAGGCCAAAAGAGCACATAGTGGAAAGTATAAAATTGTGGCCAAGAATTCAGTGGGTGAAGATACAGCTGAAATTGACATTACAGTTCTTGGTAAGCCAGGCAAACCTAAAGGACCTTTAGATGTTTCTGATGTAACAAAGAATGGATGCAAACTTAAATGGAAGAAGCCAGAAGATGATGGTGGATCTCCTGTAGAATATTACGAGATTGAAAAACTTGATCCTCTCACTGGACAATGGATACCTTGTGGTAAATCCACAGAGCCTGAAGCAAATGTTACTGGACTTCAAGAGGGAAAGCCATATAAATTCCGAGTAAAGGCTGTCAATAAAGAGGGTGAATCAGAAGAATTAGAGACTGAAAAACCCATCATTGCCAAGAATCCATTTGGTAATGTTTAAATTTGTAGTGTTTTATATGTTTGATTTTATTTTTAAATCAGAATTAATCTGAGTGATTGCTTTCAGATGAACCAAGCAAACCAGGCCGTCCTGAACCTACAAACTGGGACAAAGATTTTGTGGACTTACAGTGGTCTAAACCTAAAAGCGATGGAGGCGCCCCCATTGAAAAATACATTATTCAGAAGAGAGACAAAGAAGGTCGGGCCTGGGTGGATGCTCTTACTGTGCCAGGAGACAGGTGAACTGATTTTTTGTTATTACTACATCATTGTCATTGTTGTTAGTATTATTTGAATTACTTTGCCGTATGGAGGTGTATGAAATATTGTTTTACCATACTTGGTTTTCACCTCCTGTATGCTACTACAAAAGTTTTGAAACCTGAAACAAATAAAATCAGGAATCATTTACCAACTTTCTGCATCATAACATAATTTATAAAATACAATATCACAAAACAATCATGGTAAAATAGTTTATTATCAATATAAAAATAATAGTGAACCAGTTGCATTCAGATTATTGACAATATTTAATTGACATATTATCAACATTAAGTGAAGTTACAAAATTCTTTTTTTATACCTGATTTTATTTGTTATTATTGAATATTTTAGGACATCTGGGAAAGTAACAAATGTTGAAGAAGGCCATGAATATGAATTCAGAGTTATTGCGGTTAACAAGGCAGGACCAAGTGAGCCAAGTGATCCATCGAAATCAGTCATTGCTAAACCAAGATTCTGTAAGTATATGTGTGATAAGATATGTTTCGGATATCTTCTTTCCAAACTTTTTCTATGATTGTATAAAAATTAGTAATTCTACCTACAGCTAAGCCTATGTGAAATGAGTCTTACATTACAACACGTGAAAAACATGATATCGGAGTAAAAAAAATTACTTCCTTACTACCCATCTTCACCACGTGTCCTCACTGCACATCTTTACTGCCAATCCTCATTGCCCTTCAACATTACCCATACATGGCCTTCTGTTATGTAGTCATTCCAAAGTTTGTTTTGAAGAAACAGTGAAGACTTAGCAATGAAACAAAGATTCATCATTAAAGAATTTTTATACAAATATAAAAAAATGCTTCTTCGATTTTGATTGTTTTTTTCACTTGACTTATCAGTGTCTATGAACAAAACCTGAATCTTAATTGTACAAATATCAATCATTTCATGTACTTAATATAAAAATAAGTATTATTTTAAATTCCAGTGGCTCCTCGTATTGATCGGAAAAATCTCCAGAAAAAAATTATCCACAGTGGACAGATGTTGCGTATTGAAGCTGACGTGCAAGGAGAACCTGCTCCTAAGATAACATGGACATTAAAAGACCAAGTTCTGAAATCCCATGAGAGGTAAAGAAAAGAAGTTTAGTTTTTCTGTCATATATCATTGTAAATTTTCTTCTATTTCAATTCTCAATATTTATGGCTACATTGATTAAAATACAAAGGTTGCTTTGAGTCCTCAGTTTCAGTCATATAATTTCTAATAAATATTTTTATTATTTTAGTTCTACAAATGAACAAAAATTTATTTTTATAAACGGTTGGTCATTTTTAACTTCCTTGTACAAATAGAAGTTGTATAATATCTAGAACATCTTCCTTTTATTTTCTCCTTTTTTAACACTATGTAATAAAATTTTTGGGTGAAATATTTGTTTTTCCTGAAAATTTCAGTATACATTAATTGTAAAGAAAACCTGAGAGATGATTCATTTCTTTGTAGTGAAACCAGGATATAAAAAACATCAGTTCACATGGTAATGGTTGTTTATTCAATATTTTATTCTGGTGTGTGCACTATATGATTAGAACTCATATTTGTTGAGACTGGTATCAGTTTAGTCAGGATTATAATTGTGAACATTGTGTAGTTATTTACAAAATAATGTTGGAAATAAATGGTGCAGATAAAAATAGTGTCAATAACAGTGATGAAAAAAATTATTTTTATAAATGTTTTCAACATTAAGGATCTGAATATTAAATTATTACTCATTTAAAATATTTATTATTATTTGCCATGTTGGGATACCAGATTTGATTCCCAGTTGGGGCAAAAATTAAGTTGTCACTTTTCACTGCTATGTCCCGATTCAAATAGCTGTGTAACAATGTGAAATCTTCTCTCGGGAAGAGAATGCCAAATAAATGGAGTAAAGAGTTGCATTCTGTTTATCATTGGTCTCCCTAGCCCATAGCCATCAGGCTTGGGAGGCCATGACAGGCACTAGCCTCATGGGGCTGTAATACCAAAATACATACATACATTCAATTACGAATCCACAAGCTTCAATTCAAACTATTTTGTCTTCTGTTAGATTCAATTCTTTTTTTTTCTCTTATGTAGATTGAAGATTGAAAATGAGGATTATAAAACCACCTTTATTCTGCAAAAAGCAAAAAGAACTGATACAGGAATTTATATAGTTACTGCAAAGAATGACTCTGGCACCGATCAAGTGGAAGTGGATATAACCGTACTCAGTATGTATTTACAACTCATAACATTTTCTGTAATTATATTTTATCTTAAGTTTAAAGTCATTACTGAATTTACAATATCTGGTTTTTGGAATATTAAATGGTAGTCAACTGATAAAGAAAGTTGTGAATCTTATTTTCTTGACTGTAGGACAATAGGTAGTAATGCTGATATTTTGGTTATGTTTCTGTGATTTTCAAGATGTCTGTTATAAAGAGGATCACAAATTGATATCATAACAGTTCAAGAAATCAATTTCAGTAATTGATGTATTATATATTTTGATCTGTGTGATTCAGGTAAACCAAGCAAACCAAAGGGGCCTTTGAAGGTATCAGATGTGACTGCTGAAGGTTGCAAGCTAAAGTGGGATAAACCTGAAGATGATGGTGGAGAACCTGTGGATCACTATGTTATTGAACGTATGGATACTGAAACTGGACGATGGGTACCTGTAGGAACAAGCAAAACTCCAGAAACAGAGGTATGAATTTAAAAGTATTAACAAAACTTTTTTCCATGGAAGAAGTTTTATTCATGACATCCAAAGCAGAAAAAACAAGTACTTAAATTGAAACGAAAGAAATACCTACACAATAATTCATAGTTCATGCCAAATATTTGTTTTCCTTGTCTGCAGATGTGCACAATGAAATCTTTACAAAATTTCATCATCTTTTGTATGAGTCAGTCAGGGTTAATACGATACAGCAAGAAATTGGGGCTAATGTGACACACATTAAGAATTGTTATTTATTGATATCCAAAAGTAACAAAAAATAGCAAATAATAGGAAATATATTATATTATTAGTGACTATATTCTACGAACTCAAAATGTTACAGACTTTAGACAAAAAAAAAAAAAAAAAAATCAAAGCCAAAGTGCCACATTTTTTCAATCAAAATCTTCTCCGCTGAGATAGAAAACTTTTTATATCACTTTTTTGATGGCAGGATATTTTTGAAAATAGTTAATCATTCACAAAAAATGAATCTAATTTTCTGTGTAAAAAGATTTCAAAAATATGAATCATGCCATGACATATACAACATCAATTTTTTTAGCATAATATGATACTACTTATGGGGCTAATGTGATATGAGTGTCAGGGCTATTTGCATACACTAAAAATTAACATGCAGCAAACACGAAAGTAATATTTTTAAAAAAGTTTTTGTTCTTTAACAATATATTACCTATTATTCACATGGGAATTTGCAAAGTTACTGCTCAGAATTATTTACATTATTAACATTTACATTTCAATACAGTTATACTTTTCTTTGGAACAAGAACTCATAAAAATATCTTGAAACAATATTTAAATTATTTGAATTCATCTTATAATATAGAAAATAATATATAAGTGAAAAGGAAGGTCTAAGGCTCACGTGTTGTATACTATCAAACCAATGTGATGAAATCACTTCAGCCCCTTGCAAAATTCAATAATTTTTTTAAATATGTTAACTTTTCTGTTATTACACTTTGATGTATGAACAAGATTTTTCTGATAATTTACGACATTAAAACCAAATGACACAATGCTTTTTAAAACTTTATTTTAAAGCTTCCTTTTTGAAGTTTCAGAATGATTGGAAACAATGTCTTATAACTTAGACTGCAAAAGATATTACTTCTGTCAAAAACAACTGTTGAGACACTAGACCCTAAGGTGTCTCACTACAGTCCGCTTGTTGTCTTCCAATCAAAATTCATAGATATATCAAGCTGTATCACTTAAGCCCCATCAGTGTATTAGCTCCATCAGGTGGGGCTAATTTGATACACACTTTTGATTTTTTAAAGAATTGTGGTAGGTCTTATGTTATTTTTAATTTTTTTACTTGTCTTGATAACCAAAAGGCACAAATTCAATTCTTTTTCATGTCTTTGCTGCAAATGGTGTAGAAGATAAAGTTTGCTTTTCTGTATCATAATAGCTCTGACTGACCCTACATAATTTTTATTAATAATATTTAAAGGATGTACCAACATAACATACTTCCTTTTTTAAAAAATTACTTTCATTAATGTATATTAAGTCATTCTTATGCATTTTAATATATATTTCTTAAATTATGAATCGTTTTCATGGTAATAATATGGCAGATATTATTCTACTTTCTTTGAGAATTGAATTACTATCACAGCAAATGTTATGATATTAAGCATACTATTATCACAATTGCTTTCATTCTTAGTTGGTGTTAGATATACATCATTCAGCCCACAGTGTTGTAACATAAGAGGCAAAAATCATTTACCCTTAAATGCAATTGCCATCTTAAGACAACATATTTCTTTCATCTTTATTGCGGTATCCATATCTTAGCATTAAGGAATTTTTCTCTCTGCAGTGGGATGTTGTGTGAAGACAGGTTTGCCATAGTGATGCAATAGGCCGGCTACCTGCAACCGTGGTAATGCACACAGTCCTATTTCTTTCATCAGTGTTGCAATGTTACCATGCCCAAACTAGGTTCCCAATTGCAGGATTAACATTATTTTGAAAATACCCAGCCTATCTGGATACTTATAGAAAGTAAGAAATGGGACATATATCAGTTTACAATAGTGTGTTCTTGAAAAACAATTATCAAGTCAGGATGAACATTGCATGTAATATTTCTCATCCATATTTGCATTTTTTTAAACCTGTAATCACCAATCTGCATAGATATTAGATGTAAAATTTGTAAACATTTTACATTTTGACACATTTACAATACATGAATTGTATTTCTCATGAAATGTATTGACCTGGTTTACTTTTAAAATTATTTATTTAATATTAAACTGTATTTTCTTTCCATTTTTTAGGTTACTGGTCTTAATGAAGGGAAGGAATATCAGTTCAGAGTTAAAGCTGTCAATTCAGAAGGGGAATCTGAACCCTTAGAAACTGACGTTCCCACATTGGCAAAGAACCCATACAGTATGTTTTCTTTTTTAAAGCATCTTTTAAAAGATTTCAAAAGACTTTTATATTCATTGTTATTACTTTTATTATTTTTGAACTTGTTTAGCCTTGCCACAAGCATGCTCATCTTTGTTACATCACAGGATATACATTTAACTTTTTACACCATATGCAAAAAAGAAAAGCTTGAATGTACCTCCTAACAACAATGCAAATTTCTATTTGTTTTTGAAGATTTATATTAGGAATTTTTAGTTCATATCTTATCTTCAAAAACAATTATCTGAAGGAATATGATTAAAGATCATCATACCTGTCAGAACTTTATTGTTCTGTGCCACTATTGTGATTTCTTTTTATATTAGTTTCTTCCCCTTAATCATCATCACTTTCTGCTAAATAACTGTGTTAAAGTTTCCTTATAATTCATAAATCTCATATGATGCTAAACTAAAACAGTTATGCAGGTGCCTGTGAGTTTCCAATATGTAATTTGTTAATTCCCAGTAAATATTAAAATTCAATTGTTTTACAAATACTATAATAATTAAATTAATTCTGTAGGCTTATATTTGATCAAATATAAGCCTTATATTTAACAAAAAATAAAATAAATAATGCAATTCAGCAAGGCATTTTACATAGCTAAACTGATTTCTTGCCCACCAACTATGTATGCATATATCAGTAATAGAAATTAAATGCCTTGCTGCAAAGATAAACAATTTCTTTGGAAGTGTACTTTAAACATTGTGCCCATTCTAGGGTTAAGCTAAAATAAATGTCTATCATTATTAAATAAATCCAATGATGGTTAATTTTGTGCCATTACCTCTTCTCTTAGGTGAACCAGATAGGCCTGGAAAGCCTGAAGTCAAGGACTGGAACAGACATCAAGCAGATCTTAGATGGGCTCCTCCAAAAAGTGATGGTGGTGCCCCAATTACTTCATACATTATTGAGAAAAAGGATCAGTATAGGTGAGTTTACTACTTTTAAATAACAAAATATAACCAACTTATATTAAAAATATTCTTTAAACATCTTTTGAATAAAGATGTACATCATTCTTTTCTATTGTTGATCTTGTTTTAAAATAGTTTTGTTCTTTTTCATTTGTGGTTTAAGCCAGTCGGCATTTTCTCAATAGAACGTCTTATTATATACAGTAAAACTTCGATTATTGAGTAAAGACTAACTTCAAGAGTAATGACAGGGATGGGAGTCCATGATAAATTGAAAACACTAAATAATCAAAATAATTTTATTGGTTCAAATGTTTTAATTAAAAAGTGTTTTTAAGTATTTTTTTTTTCAATTTCTGCCTTCATTTCCTGTAATCAATTCAAAATGTTTCCCCATATCTATTGATTAAATTAATTAACTTATTCTGAAGTTGCAAGTTAGAGACCTGTCACTGACACTGACTTGTTCTTGACATATAGTGTCATTTCTTTTTCGAACTTGGAGAGTGTATCTTGCCACTTGTGTAAGAAATTTCATTTCAGCAGCACAAGTTCAGCTGGCTTTATTTTTTGTTAGAGTCCAGTTCTCAGACCCATAAAGTAATGTGGGGATAGCCATTACTTTACTGAATTTTAAGCATGTTTCTTTGCTTATTGCTTTAAGATTTTGTTTGGTGGTCCCACACATTTGGTTGAAGTTATTTAATTTATTAATTGCATCATTATTATGCCTCTAAAATATTGTAACGAAGATAGTTGAAATTGTTGGCTAGTTCTAAGATAACATTATCAAGTACTATTTTCACTTTTAAAGGGTTTATTCCTTTTAACGCCATTATCTTAGTTAAAGCAATAAATATTTGTAAATTATACTCTCTTCAAATATGGTTCAAAGAGTGGACAGCAAATTGTTGCTTATCTTCAAAATTACATATAATGATCTAGTCATCAGCAAAGAGCAGGATGTCTTATGAAGTTGATAACTGTAAAATGATCCTTAAGATTAGTTTTCCAATTTTGAATGGCATTGTTAATATTTATGTTAAATACTATTGGTCTTCATTGTCTTTCCCCACAATTTATTTCTTCCAAATCAGGGTTCTTTTTTTATTTGCCATTTCAATAATAATTTTGTTTTTAACATACAGACTCTGAATAGCTCTGATTAAATGTTGTGTAACATCTTTCTCTTTCATAATTTTCTGTATTAAGTTTTTGTTAACTTTATCAAAAACCTTCTGGAAATCTATGAAACATTTATAGGGGGAAGTTGATATTCTATTCTCGTTTTAATGAACCAAGTTAAAGAAAATAAAAGGTCCATATATGTTCTCCCCTGCTCATAACCATGTTGAGTTTTGGAGAACGTTTAGGGCATCGCTTTTGACCTGTTAGATAGACAGATATTGTTTGTAGCAGGTGTTGAAATGACTATTTTCCCTGTAGTTGCTACAGTCATTACAGTCTCTCTTTTAAAATATTGGATTTATCTTTGAATTCCTCCATTCTTCTGGAACATGTCCATTTGTTCAGCATACATCAGTAAAACTCAGAAGGTGACCATGCAGTATATCTGAAGCATGTTTAATAAGCTCTAAATTTTGCCATTATTTCCTGAGTATGTCTTAATTTTGGAATATTGTGTGGCAATCCACAGTTCTTCTTTGATTATGGGGTCTATAATTAATCATGTCTGCTAATAATATTTCCTCAGGATATTCTTTTGTCCATAAGATTTTGGAGTAGGTTAATCATTCTTGTTCTGGGATATTATTGAGTTAGAGGCTATCTTTCTTTGTTTTGTTTAAATGTTTCAGAATTGTATATGCACTGCCCTGTCTGCCATGCCTATCATGTTATATGTCATATATATTTGCTCCAGTTATTGTAATTAATTTTCTTTTCTCTTCTTGCTATGGCATAGCAAAGCTTGTATTTCAATCTTGTTTGGTCAGTATTTAAATTCAGATGTCTTAAAATGCCTGCTTTTTGCCATTAATTATTTTAGCGATGTCAACACTCCACATCCATAGGCAACGTTTATTATACCTTTGTATTAATGTTTCCAAAGCTTCAGTAGCTGCTTGAGTTACTATATACTTGATGTTTTCCCACCCTTGGTTTATATTGTTACTTATTAGTTTCATTTGTGTGCTTTGGTTCAGCTGAAAATGGTAGAGGTGCCTTGTGCTCTCATCTTGGAGTAAATGGACATTAAACATTTCTTTTGAGGCTTGATTTGTTCTTTGGTGTTGTTTTACCATTTGATTGTAATGTTGACCTTTGATACCTTCAAGAAATTGTCAGATCCAACATCAGAACTTCTGAATACTCTTGTGTCTGGGGCTCGCTTTCCAAGTTTGTCATTTATTAAAAGGTAATCAGTTATTGATCAAGAACCCCTAGCATTCCAAGTATATTTATAAATATTTTTGTGTGTGTTTTTTCTTTCTAAAATCCAAATTAAAATAAAGGACAGAAATAATGTTCAAAAGTACAGTGCCTAACTATTTGTTTTATAAAATACAATAATCATTTATAATAATTAATTTCATAACAAAAAATAGTTATACTCTAGGTTGAGGATGAGCATGTTGTTCACTTCTTCTGTTGTTCACATATGACACTATTATTTCACACTGAGTGTTTGGGTCAGTCAAGTAATTGAGTTCCTTTCATTATTAGTATTTAAAATAACAACTAGAAGCAACCATAGACTGCATGAACACTTGAATGCTGTCCAATGGCTAGCAAAATTTAAAAGTAAGCACTATGCTTACCTATTGACCTATAGTGGAATAACAGAGTTTGAATAATCTTTGTGTTCTTAGGTTTTTGATTATTGTAAATATTACATTGACTAAATATTATATCAGTAATGTGGCTGATCTGACACAAATAACAACATTTGGATTCTTTATTTTTATCTAGTTCCAAATGGCAGAAGGCAGTTGAAATCATTGGAAACAAATGCGAAGCTAAAGTGCCAGATCTTGTAGAAGGGATGAAATACCAGTTCAGAGTGCGTGCAGTAAATAAGGGTGGTCAAAGCAAACCAAGTGAACCAAGTGACACCATAACTGCTAAGGATAGATTTGGTAAGTGTGTTCAATTTAGATTACAATTAATTTCAACTGATTTAACTAATCATTTGAGAAGCAAAATTGAATTTTCACAGTAGTATCAAAAAACATATTATTTAACTGAAAAATAAATGTATATTTTCCATATTGTAGTTTTGTTATATTCCATTTTATTGTTCCATGTAGTAGTTAGTTCATCAAGAATATTTATATTGGTTTCTATTTCAGCTGCTCCTCGTATTGATCGAAGCACTCTGAAAGATATTACCATCAAAGCTGGTCAGAATATACGCTTTAATGCAAAAATCAGTGGTGAACCGCCACCATCAAAATCCTGGTTTTTGAACAAAGCTCGTTTAGACTCTAAAGATGATATAGTGATTGAAAATGAAGACTATCGATCACAACTCATTATATCTAGTGCCACCAGGAAACACAGTGGAGCTTTTGTCATCAAAGCTGAAAATAGTTCTGGAAAGGATGAAGTAACTATTCAAGTCACTGTTTTGGGTGAGTATTCCTTGGAATTAAAATTGAAACAAACTCATATGTCATGCTGCATATAAAATGTCACTCACCCCAAAGTGTCACATCAATACTTGTCAACACTCTCCCCTTTCATGTGCAATTAAAATCTGACTTAGCAATAAGATAACTATAAGTTAATATATGATATTTGAGAAATGTTTTATTCACTTATGGATTGTATACATATTTTTATTAAGAAATATGTGTCTTACAATATACTTTAACAACTGCAGACAAACCAGGAAAGCCAGAAGGACCATTAAAAATATCTGACATCCACAAAGAAGGATGTAATCTAAAATGGAACCCTCCTGCAGACGATGGAGGATCTCCAATTGAACATTATGTGGTTGAGAAAATGGATACTGAAACAGGTAAGAATTACAAATACGTTTCAGAAAAATAACTTATTATTTTATGTTCTGATAATAATTACCCAATATTTACATGTTCTGATTTCATTCCCCAAGAGAAAAGATTAAATAAATTGCAAGAAACTGATAACAAGTAATTGATAGAAATACATTTTTTAGGGGTATCTGAATCTGAAAAAGAGTGTTTGTTTTTGTTTTTCCAAATATCTTTCTGTCCATCCATTTGTGAACACTGCTAGCACTGAAACCATGCATACAATTTTCCTTAAAATGAAAATTCCCTGATCAATCAGGCAAACTTGAGGCTCTCAGAATTTGAAAAGGATCTTTTTTTCATTTTTAAGGATTCTTTTCATGAAATCCCTTGGACATTTTCAAAATTTACTCAAAAATGAAACCAAATTTATTCTTTCAATTTTTGGTTCAAATACACAAAGCACACATATATGCAGTATAAATCTGCTTTTCATTAAAACCTCTGTACCATCCATTGATAAATGTTTCCTTTGTCTTTAAATTTCTTCATATCCTCCAATTGTACCTTTTGAACTCCCTAGGTGGGATGGGAAAAATAATATGCCAGAAAAAAATTTTAAAAAATAAAGAAAGTTTCATATAATGACAAGAGAGGACTTTCACTATGTTTGTGATTCATTATAGTTTGTTTGTTTGTTTAGACTTTGAAGACATGTCAAACAAATTTTTCTTTTGTATGGAATTATGTGAAATGGGAATTCACAGATCTGTATTACCCACTAGTGATGTAATTAACAAAGAACAATATAAACATTATTCTCAGGGCCTATGATTGTTTGAAGAATGTTTAAATGCTCCCAAATAAGTTGTATGTGATACATACGACAATAGGATATAATGGTGAAATAAAATTGACATATCAGATACATCTGTAAACTCAAAAATGTTAATAAGGCTTTAAATTATATTTATTTTCTTTCATTTTCATAATCAATGGGCTTATTAGCCCTATTTCAATATAAATTCTACTGAGTTTGATGGTCCTTTGAAGATTTGTAATACCATATATTCTGAAATAGTTATTTTATTTTCTTATTTTTACATAGTACAGAAAATTATTATTGAATTATTTGCACAAAATTTGCCAAATTGCTACTATATGTAATATTCAATATTTTCATAAGAAAATAAATTCACTTTTGGCTTTCAGTTCTCATTTGTCATTGGAATTTGCAGGTCGCTGGGTCCCAGTTGGTCGTTCCAAAGAGCCCAAAATGGAAGTCACAAACCTACAACCAGGACAGGAGTATAAATTCCGCGTCATGGCAGTAAATGCTGAAGGAGAATCCGAACCTCTTGATGCTGACAAACCAATTATTGCCAAAAATCCATTTGGTAAGTATTTTTAATTGCATTAGAATGTTTGTTCATCATTGCAATAGAATGCTACAAACAAGAGCAGACATATTTTCTCTTTATAGATTATTTACTAATACTAAAAGGTTTTAAATTTTGAATAGGATATTTATGAACTTCTCATAATTAATTTAAAAAGTGTATTTATTTGTGAGTGTTTGTACCTACTTAAACATCATTTAATATTGTTGTTGTTTTTATAATTATTATTATTATTATTATTATTATTATTATTATTATTATTATTATTATTATTATTATCATTATTATTGTTATTATCATCATTATTATTGTTATTATCATCATTATTATTATTATTATTATTATTATTATTATTATTACTACTACTACTACTACTACTATTAGCAGTAGTTGCTTAGTAGAAGTTGCAGCATCATGCTGAATGACACTGCACGGATTATAAATCCCGAAGACTTCAGACTCCTGATATTGATGGTGTTAAGAATCGTTTTTCTTTCTAGCTTTTATCTATCATTTACAATTAATTTTTATGAGCTGTTCCTCTTTCCCACCTTTTACATCAACTACCTCTTTCCCACCTTTTACAATATTTTATTATCACTCTTTGATCATTTATTCTCCAAAATCCACATCATTTTCCTCTTTTAGGGTACATCAACTAATGTATTTGATCTTAAAAATTGTTAAAGTATGGGCCTCATTCCACTTCTCATTTCATCCATAATCTAAGTAATATATCTATTGTTATTATTTTTGTAATGGTCACCATTCTCGACATCACCTTCTTCACGAAAACATATTTTTATTATGGTTGTTATTGTTATTATTATATTTTTTTTTTTGTTTTTGTTTGTTTGTTTGTTTGAAGGCTTAGCATCTAAGGCCTTTAGCCTTTTTACTGATCGATGTTATGATTAATCATAT